ATATATATAAAGTTACGATTATATTTTTCAGTACTAATTTTATATACAAAGATCAATGCAGTTTATTTTAGAATTGTTGTTAAATAACGCCTGTTAAATAATGCATTAAGAATTTATTAGGAAAGGTAATTGTGATTTCCATGTAGGGAATGGAATAAAATGTAATTCATATGTATTTACACACATGTGATGAAAAGTATATTAAATGGTTATTAATTATCTAACAAGTAAAATAATTTTTACTGCAGAGAATCGCATTTGCAACGCGTTGGGAAATCTAACCGTTTGATATCAATTACGAAAAGCTTAATTATATTGTACCATAATTACAAATATAAGAATAAAAAAATATGTATGTTATTTGATTACATACAGTGTTTATTTTTTCTGTTATAATGTGTAACGATTTGATATTTTGAGAACGGAAACGTATATCCGATATGTCAATTGTTGTATACCTCATAATGATTAAGTCAATGAGAAATGGCATAATAAATATTTGTTTATGCCAATCCTTAATATTTCTTATATCACGCTCCACTTCGTTTGCTTTAATCATAATTAATTTGTCAAAAAGAGATAGATAATATACATGTAAAATATTATAATATCAAGAATTTATAGTACGTAGTTAAAAATCAAAGTGAATCGTAAAAATAGTATTTTAATCTTTTTATGCAGCAAATATTACTATGAAATAAAAATATAAAATTTGTATAATATATGTATAAATCATATATATATGCATTAGACACGAATTGTATATTTTGTGTAATGTATATATATAATTTTTATATATTATTATATGTTGATACACGGACAATGACATATAATAATATTTCTAAAACATATATATACAACATATATATATACAAGTATTTCAACATATTACATTAAATCTGTCTGATAGTGAACATCATGCATCTTTTGAATTTATTATAAAAATCTGCTTCACTTTCGTCAACAAGTTTTCCTTTCATTAAAATATAAGATTGATCGTATGTTATGTCGTCTTTTGCTGCTTCTTCTTAATGTTCGCTTTTTGTTGTTTTATTTTTATTTTTTGTTTTTTGAGTTTTTTCTTCTCTGTTTGACTCTGCTCTCGCTCCTGTGTACGCCGGTACAATTGGCGGACGCCCATCACTATGAACACGACATAGTTACAATTAAATCATTGCAAAAAGACAAAAATAAGTGTCTGAAAAAGAAAATAATAAAATTTAAATAATAAAATCTAATAAAATTTTTGTCATAGAAAAATGACGAGTTTTTCCAAAGAGTCAGTAGAAGATAGGATGATAATCCGAAAAGAAATTGGATATATAATTACGCAGTCGACTGTTGATGGATTATATTCTCAATGTTATATTACTAGAATAAGATATCTATTTATCATTAACATATTGTCAAGATATATTGCATTATTATTATATATAAAATCAAACATCATTTCGAGATGCAGGAAATGTCGTACCGAGAGGAATTGCCACGAACGATACCGCGAAAATGAATAGAATGTAAGATTCATATGGCGCGAGCCACGTGGATAAAATCGAGTTGCCGGGTAACTTTCGCAGAGTCTTCGTCAATACGTCAACGGCGCCTTTTTGGAACTGCTCTTTGTCCTCGTCACTCAGCTGCTGGTATCTTTCGAGTAGTCTTGACAGTTTCTCTTGCACGTCCTCCGGTATTATGCTATCATTCTCCAACGTATCCAAAATCGTTTCTTCCATATTGAACGCAATGTTAACGTGCACGAGAATTTCAATACCAAAGATAGAGGTCCGCACGAGTATGAAGTAAAAATTAGACTGATTGAATAAGGATGATCAGATTCAGCGGTCGAGTGGACTCGATTAGATAACGAACGTTGAAAATATGTCGATGTATGATGTAAGTCTCATCGACGGAGCGATTTTGTTTAGCAAACCCGCGTAAACCCGATTGTGCACATTCAACAAAAAGGAAATATTATTATCTTGCGAATTTACGAAACGAAAAACGATGTTCCACTTTTTGTAACATAAGCGGAAAAGAAGTCGTCAGACTGATTAATGTTGAGCGTGCCGATTTGTATAAAGGCGGATTATCAAGGACGTTAATCTTTATTAACTCAATATTTGCCGAATAGGAGTGCAAATGCAAAACGGCGGAAATAATGCCATTTTTAGACAAACAAGATTACGCTTGGCGAATCGAAGAAACGATCTTTTTGACGTCGAGAATCTGAACAAACAGTGCGCTTGTTGGCCAAACAAGGCCAAATACAACTTTGCGAAATTATATTATTTCTTGTAAATTTATATCACTTCATATAATTGTACGATCAACGTATTAAAATTTCGTTTGTCGGGCAATATGCTTATATTTACAAATAAAATTAATTACAAACATTCATAATATCTAAATTAGTATTTGAAAAGAAAACTTTGATATATTTATAAAACAATATTTAAAACATCAAAATATAAAAAAGATACAGAAATAATAAGCAGCAGAAAAAGAGAAATTAGTTAAGTTCGCATAAATTTTTTAAGTTTGCAAAATCAATGTTTATTAATATTTTAACTTTTACAATATATTTTTGCAGAAACCATAAAAGGAATTTTTTGCTAGTCGCGGTTTAAATGTGTGTATGTATCCATAATTATAGATACTTCACAATAACCAGTACAATATTTATATTACATGTACCAACAACTTATACTTACAAGTATAGTAGAGTATTATCAAGTACCCGATGAAGAAACAGTACATGACATAAGGCCACAAGTCTTCCGGTTTAATCATGATTTGCACCAAAATCTTCACTTTTCGTACGTTGTGGATTATTTTCCGTTACATAAACGTTTATTAGAAATGTCAGTGGTTGTGATTCTTGTAATTTTTTGAAGGCAGAACAGAATCTTTCTTGCTATTTCTTCTTACTTCAGACCAATTTATCCAGTTCATACAGCAAATCATCCATGCAAATGACCTTATTTTTATTCAAAACTCATGTTAGTAAACAGTAAAGCTTAGTAAACAGTACACGAATCTTATCCATATCCTATATTAAACATGATAGATATCGTAAAACGTGTAAAAGAAGGAATAAAATATAAAGTTTAATTGCAATCCAACAAAGATATTTATTAAAAAGAGAGCGTAACTTGAATGCAATAGATTAAAACATACTACATGTAGGACAATTATATGTATATGTTATGCTGTTAATATATATATATATATATATATATATATATTTGTCTTTGTACTACGCAATCGACTGTTGATGAATTTTATTTTATATTCTCAATGTGTTATATTACTAGAAATAAAATACATATCTATCATTAACATATCGTCAAAATATATTGCATTATTATTATATATAAAGTCAAACATCATTTCGAGATGCAGAAAATGTCATACCAAGTACAAACGCCACGAACGATACCTCAAAAATGAATAGAATGTAAGATTCATATGGCGCGAGTCACGTAGATAAAATCAAGTTGCCGGGTAATTTTCGCGCAGGGTCTGCTGGTATCTTTGGAGCAATCTTGAAAGTTTTTCTTGCACGTCTTCTAGTATTATGCTATCATTCTCCAACGTATCCAAAACCGTTTCTTCCATATTGGACGCAATATTAACGTGCACGAGAATTCCAATACTAAAGACAAAGGTCTGCACAAGCACAAAGTAAAAATTAGACTGATTTAATAAGGATGATCAGATTCAGCGGTTGAGAGGACTTGATTAGATAACAAACGTTGAAAATATATCGAGGTATGATGTGCAAGTCCCATCGACGGAGCCATTTTATTTAGCAAAACCGCGTAAACCCGATTGTGCACACTCGACGAAAAAGAAATATTATTGCCTTGCGAATTTGCGAAACGAAAAATGATGTTCCACTTTCTGTAGCATCAGCGGGAAAGAGGTCGTCAGACTGATTAACATTAAGCATGGCGATTTGTATAAAGGCGGATTATCAAGGACGTGTTAATCGTTATTAAATCAATATTTGCCGAATAGGAGTGCAAATGCAAAATGGCGGGATTAATGCCATTTTTAGACAAACAAGATTATGTTTGGCGAATCGAAGAAACGATCTTTTTGGCGTCGAAAAACTGAACAAATAATACACTTGTTTGCCAAACAAAGTCAAATACAACTTTACGAAATTGTATTATTTCATGCGAATTTATATCACAAATTTATATAATTGTACGACCCAACATATCAAAATTTCGTTTGTCGCTCGATATACTTATATTTACAAATAAAATTAACTACAAACAATTTCGTAATATCTAAATTAAAAAAAAAAATTTAATATGTTTATAAAACAATATTTAAACATTAAAATATAAAAAAGACATAAACATAATAAGAAGCAAAAAGAGAGAGATTAGTTAAGTTTGCATAAATTCTTTAAGTTTGCGTAATCAATGTTTATTAATATTTTAATTTATACAATATTTTTTCAGAACCCTATTACATTAACAAAAATTAACCAATATTATTATAGTTTTTATTTATTATTCAAATTATTCCATCTTTCTATTGTCTCTAGTTGATAGAGTGAAAGTCGATACATTTCTTGAGAAACAGTTTTGCCTTTTAATCTCTATGTCTGATAAAAGAAAATGACAACATACACATTCATTTTATTATTTATTATAAAATGTATTTTAGAAATATATGTTAGAAATATTATCGGAATTTTTAATTACTATTTCTAATTGCAAAAATAGATTTATTAAACACATTATTTAAATATTATTGAAATTTTATAATTTATTTGCACAAAAGAATCTATTATTAAATTATTATTAAATTATTGTATGGTGTGTGTGTAGACAATTTTTGCTATCGTGGTTTGAATGTGTGTATGTATCCACAATTATAAATATTTCACAGTAACAATCTCTATATTACATATATCAACGATTTATACTTACAAATATAAAAGAGTGTTATCATGCACCCGTTGAGGAAACCGTATACAGAGAATTCCCACAACACTTCCGGTTCAATCATGATTTGCATTAAATTCTCCACAATTTTTTTTTCGTTGTGGATTATTTCCTGTTACATAATCGTTTATTAGAAATCTCAACGGCTGCGTTTCTTGTGATTTTTTTAAAAGCAGAACAGAATTTTTCTTGCTATTTCTTTTAGCGCTTCAAACCAATTCGTCCAATTATATTCATATGGTAAATCATCCATGCAAATGACCTTATTTTTATTCAAGACTTCTGTTAGTAAACAGTAACGCTTAACACACAGTACACGAATTTTGTCTATATTCTAATTAAGCATGATAGATATCATAAAATATATAAAAGCAGGAATAAAATATAAAATTTAATTGCAATCCAACAGAGATATTTATTAAAAAGAGAGCAAAACTTGAATACAATAGATGTTAATAACGCCGTTAAAACATACTACGTGTAGGATAATTATATATGTTATGCTGTCAATATATATATATATATATTTGACGTTGTACTGTTATTAATATTTAAATGCATTCATTACCCTATTACATTAACAAAATTTAACCAATATTATTATAGTTTTTATTAATTATTCAAATTATTC